CTGCAGCTCCGCGGCGGCTCTCCTGGACTCCTCCAGCTCCGCCTCGGCGCGCCGCGCGGAGTCCCGCAGCTCCGTGGCGGCTCCCCTGGAATCCTCCAGCTCCGCCTCGGCGCGACGGTGCTCCGCGTCCTGGAGACGGGCGCCCATGGCACCGCAAGGGAACACGTCTGCCCCCCCCAGCTTAGCTCTGCAGAGGTCAAACCAGTCGGGCCGCTGAAATAAAGAACGAAACATAAAGAAAGAAACCTTTTTCGGTCCCGACAGCGCCTGCGTGCACGAGCAGGGCACAACAAGAAAACACCTCTGCTTCCCCCCCAGCTTCGCTCTGCAGAGGTCAGACCAGACGGGCCGCTGAAGTAAAGAAACTCTACATAAGGAACGAAACCTCTTTTGGTCCCAGCAGCGCCTGTGTGCACGCGAAGGGCGAAAGGAACTGCCACATAGGGACCTGAAGAACAAGGAGCTCCTTCCGAACCGAAGCTGTTTCTTGTTTCAGCGTATTAGCTGCACTTCTGCGTCCGTTCGGGACGATCCGGGCATCCCCACAACACTCTCGGCGAGGCGCAGCCGCTGGAACGCATCTGGAGCCATGAAAACTGCCAAGAACCGACGGTGCCCCCTGCCAAAAACCGACGGTGCCCCTTGAAAGCCTCGAACATCGAATCTCGAACTCCCCCCCTCGCTCGCCGACGAAAGACCCCTCCCCTCTCCCGATGTGTTCCCCCCTCTCTCCGCCAACCCACGCGGGAGCTGAGTCCTGCAGGTCCGCCGCGGCTCTCCTGGCATCCTCCAGCTCCGCCTCGGCGCGCTACTACTACTACTACTACTACTACTACTACTACTACTACTACTACTACTACTACTACTACTACTACTACTACTACTACTACTACTACTACTACTACTACTACTACTACTACTACTACTACTACTACTACTAACCTACTACTACTACTACTACTACTACTACTACTACTACTACTACTACTACTACTACTGCTACTACTACTGCTACCACTACTACCACTACTACCACTACGACTACGACTACGACTACGACTACGACTACCGCTACTACTACTACTACTACTACTACTACTGCTACTACTACTACTACTACTACTACTACCACTGCGACTACTACTGCTACTACTAATACTACTACTGCTACTACTACTACTACGACTACTACTACGACAACGACTACTACTGCCACTACTAGTACTAGTACTAGTACTAGTACTAGTACTAGTTAGTACTACTACTACGACTACCTCTACTACTACTACTACTACTGCTACTACTACTACTGCTACTACTACTACTACTACTACTACTACCACTGCGACTACTACTGCTACTACTAATACTACTACTGCTACTACTACTACTACGACTACTACTACGACAACGACTACTACTGCCACTACTAGTACTAGTACTAGTACTAGTACTAGTACTAGTACTAGTACTAGTACTACCACTACTACTACTACTACTACTACTACTACTACTAATACGACTACTAGTATTACGACTACTATTACTACTACTACTACCACTACTAAAACTACTACTACTACTGCTACTACTACCACAACTACTACTACTACAACTACTACTACTACTACTACTACTACTACTACTACTACTACTACTACTACTACTACTACTACTACTACTACTACACTACTACTACTACTACTACTACTACTACTACTACTACTACTACTACTACTACTACTACTACTACTACTACTACTACTACTACTACTACTACTACTACTACTACTACTACTACTACTACTACTACTACTACTACTACTACTACTACTACTACTACTACTACCAGTGCGACTACGACTACGACTACAACTACAACGAATACCATGATGTCTGAACACATCAGCATTCGTATTACTATGGTGGTTGTTCCCACATGCGTCGTGGGGTTTTGGCTTTCTTCCCTGCCGCGCCGCACCCGCGTCTCCTCACACCTCCCGTCCTCTCTCTTTCTTCCTCCCCTCACTCACACACACGCACACACTTCACTCTTCCCCCCCTCGTCACAACACTGCTCAGCTCAGCTCAACTCACCTCATCACAACACAGCACAGCTCAGCTCAGCACAGCTCGGCTCAGCCCAGCACGGCTCAACACAGCCCAGCACAGCTCAGCTCAACTCGTGGCACTTTATCGACACTACATGGGGTGCGCAGGGGGTGGTCTCTCAGCTCGGCCGCTATCCACGGCACTGGCGCAAAGCCTAGCAGGCGTGGCACTCGCTCGACACCAAAGGGGGTGGGCAGGGGGTGGTCTCTCAGCTCGGTCGCTATCCACGACACTGGCGCAAAGCCTAGCACACGTGGCACTTTCTCGACGCCACAAGGGGTGCGCAGGGGGTGGTCTCTCACCGCGGTCCCTATCCACGACACTGGCGCAAAGCCTAGCAGGCGTGGCACTCTCTCGACACCAAAGAGGGTGCGCAGGGGGTGGTCTCTCAGCTCGGCCGCTACCCACGACACTGGCGCAAAGCCTAGCAGGCGTGGCACTTTCGCGACAGAACGGGGGGTGCGCAGGGGGTGGTCTCTCACCGCGGTCCCTATCCACGACACTGGCGCAAAAGGCTAGCAGGCGTGGCACTTTCTCGACACCACAGGGGGTGCGCAGGGGGTGGTCTCTCAGCTCGGCCGCTATCCACGACACTGGCGCAAAGGCTAGCAGGCGTGGCACTTTCTCGACACCACAGGGGGTGCGCAGGGGGTGGTCTCTCAGCTCGGCCGCTATCCACGACACTGGCGCAAAGCCTAGCAAGCGTGGCACTTTCTCGACACCACAGGGGGTGCGCAGGGGGTGGTCTCTCAGCTCGGTCGCTATCCACGACACTGTCGCAAAGCCTAGCAGGCGTGGCACTTTCTCGACACCACAGGGGGTGCGCAGGGGGTGGTCTCTCAGTTCGGCCGCTATCCACGACACTGGCGCAAAGCCTAGCAGGCGTGGCACTTTCTCGACACCACAGGGGGTGCGCAGGGGGTGGTCTCTCAGCTCGGCCGCTATCCACGACACTGGCGCAAAGCCTAGCAGGCGTGGCACTTTCTCGACACCACAAGGGGGTGCGCAGGGGGTGGTCTCTCAGCTCGGCCGCTATCCACGACACTGGCGCAAAGGCTAGCAGGCGTGGCACTTTCTCGACACCACAGGGGGTGCGCAGGGGGTGGCCTCTCAGCTCGGCCGATATCCACTACACTGGCGGAAAGCCTAGCAGGCGTGGCACTTTCTCGACACCACACGGGGTGCGCAAGGTGTGGTCTCTCAGCTCGGCCGCTATCCACGGCACTGGCGCAAACCTAGCAAGCGCGGCACCTTCTCGACACCATAGGGGGTGCGCAGGGGGTGGTCTCTCAGCTCGGTCGCTATCCACGACACTGTCGCAAAGCCTAGCAGGCGTGGCACTTTCTCGACACCATAGGGGGTGCGCAAGGGGTGGTCTCCCAGCTCGGTCGCTATCCACGACACTGTCGCAAAACCTAGCAGGCGTGGCACTTTCGCGACAGAACGGGGGGTGCGCAGGGGGGGGGGGTCTCTCAGCTCGGCCGCCATCCACGACACTGGCGCAAAGCCTAGCACACGTGGCACTTTCTCGACACCAAAGAGGGTGGGCAGGGGGTGGTCTTTCAGCTCGGCCGCTATCCACGACACTGGCGCAAAGCTTTGCAGCCGTGGCACTTTCTCGACACCACAAGGGGGTCTCTGAGCGCGGCCGCCACCCACGACACTGTCGCAAACCTTAGCAGGAGGTGGTCTCTCACCGCGGCCGCTATGCACGACGGTCGCCCAGGCAAAGCAGGCGTGGCACTTTCTCGACACCACAGGGGGTGCGCACGGGGTGGTCCCTGAGCGCGGCCGCTATCCGTGACGGTCGTCCAGGGCACAGTAGGCGTGGCGTTTTCTCGACACCACAAGGGGTGAGCACGGGGTGGTCCCTGAGCGCGGCCACTATCCGTGACGGTCGTCCTTGCGGTATCGGCGGGGCAACGGCCACCAACATCATTCTCACATGCTTCACTTCAGCTATCACCACCCCAGCCATAATATAAGTATGTGGGGTTCCTCGGTAGCGTAATTGTTAGTGCATTTCGTGCTGGGAATACGTATAATGTTGCGATTCGCTGTGTCAGCCATATTTTTATTCGTCGTCACATCTGTATTATGGGTTACATTCGTAGTGCGAGTATCCGTAGTCGTATTACTATTAGTAGTGGTCTTTGTATGAATCGTAGTCTCACTACCCTTTTCGTCGTATTCGTATTACGAGTATAGCTCATAGTGTTTTGATCGTCAGACTGGCCATACATATTCAATTCGTACTAGTATGTATGAGTAGCACCTGTTATACCACTGCTAGCAGTACCATTCGCAGTCGTAATGTTCGCATTCTCAGTATTCGTAAGAATAAAACTGATTCGCATTCGCCGTCCTCGTCCTCCTCCTCTTCCCTCCTCCTCTTCCTCCTCTTTCTCCTCCTCCCGCCTCCGCCTCTCCCTCCCGCCTCCTCCTCGTCCTCCTCCTCGTCCTTCTCCTCCTCTCCCTCCCGCCTCCTCCTCTCCCTCCCGCCTCCCCCTCTCCCTCCTCCTCCTCGTCCTCCTCCTCCTCCCTCCTCCTCCTCCTTCCTCCTCCTCCTCCTCCCTCTTCCTCCTCCTTCTCCTCCTCCCGCCTCCCCCTCCCACTCCCGCCAGGAGGGCCGACGAGCTCCTCGCTGACGGCCTCGAAAGTGCTCCGCCACGCCTTCCCGCGAGGGTGGCCCGCCCCCGCCCGCGGCCGAGGACGAGGAGGGAGGGGGGGGGGAGGGGGGGGGAAGACGAGGACACGAGGGGGGAGGAGAGAGGAGGGGGGAAGGAGGGGGGAGGGGGGGGAGGGAGGCCGAGGATGGGAGAGGGGAGGGGGAGGGGATGGGATGGGGAGGGGAGGGGAGGGGATGGGAGGGGGAGGGATGGGAGAGGAGAGGGGAGTGGAGGGGGGGAGGGGAGGGGATGGGGGCGGGAAGGGGTGGTGGTGGTGGTGGTGGTGGTGGTGGTGGTGGTGGTGGTGGTGGTGGTGGTGGTGGTGGTGGTGGTGGTGAGCGGTGGTGGTGAGCGGTGGCATTAGCGGTCGTTGTCCTCGCAATTTGCGGCGACGCCCCGTAAAGGGCCACGAAACGAGTGAGGGGTGTGCGCCGAAGTGGTGGGGTGGCGGCACGGGATGGCAACTACTCTGGCCCTCGGTGGAGCTCCCCCTGGGGTCGCGAAGCGCGTGAGGGGTGTGCCGTGCGGAGAGCGGAGGAACATGAGCAATCACCTGGTTGACCCCAAAGGGTGTCCAGCTACAAGGTGGTGGTGCAATAGATATGATGCCATAAATTTGCGGGGTTGCACTGGATTTGGGGCGCACAGTACATGCCGGGGCGCAAGTGAATTGCTTTACTCTTGCGATCAATTCCCCGGTTGCAGCAATACAATGCAATACAATTTTCCGGGCGCAGCGCATTTGCAGTACAATTGTCCACAATTGATTGCACCACCCCTTTTCAGCTGGACTCCTTTCTTTGGGTCAAGCAAGAGGAGCCCCGCGCCTCTAGGCGGCGCGTCCACATCGCCCGCGCCAAGGCGAGAGGAGTGATGGGTGTGCGCCGAGGTGGTGGAACTCACCATGGGGCCACGAAGCGCGGGAGGCGTGTGCCGTGCGGAGAGCGGAGGAGCATGAGTCGGCGGTGGACAAACAAACCTCCCTTTGGTAAACCTCCCCTTAGTGAAAACGGCCTGGGACCGAAACCGCTGGACCTGGACCCGCAAAAATGACGGCCGCGACGCCCTCTCGCGAGCCGAAAACGGCCAATTCCTGAATCGACGTGCCAGGGTAGGAGGTCTATCCACCCCCGAATGAGCAGCCAGGAGCAGCCCCGCGGAGGAGGAGGAGGAGGAGGAGGAGGAGGAGGAGGAGGAGGAGGAGGAGGAGGAGCCCGGGGGAGCCCAGGGCGACGGAAGCCAACGGTAGGGGGCCACGTGCGAACCCTACCCCTGGCCCCCACGATTTCTGAGGGGGAGGGTGGGGCTCACTTCGCTCGGGAGCTCGCGCACGAGGTGAACCCCACCCTCCCCCTATGAAATCGTGGGGGCTAGGGGTAGGGTTCGCATGTGGCCCCCTATGGTGTCCCAACCCTTCCGAGCCGGGAATCTTCGCCTTTGCTCGGGCCATGGGACCCTCACAAATCGATCCGGATCGACAAATGGCGCAGACAGGTGGAGTCTAGGGCTCGGGGCCCTTCTTACGATGCCTCGCTTTTTTCGCCACGACGGAGGCCAAGGTTCCCAGACCTCCGCCGTCCTTCCTGGAGGCCTGGACCTTTTCCCCCAAAGACCGGCGTTTCGTCCTGCGCCGACTTTTGACTGTCCGGGGGCCCGGCAGGGCCCCCCAGCCCGGCAGGGCCCCCCGGGGGCCGAGAATTTCAGACAGAAACCTTCCGCCCGGATCTGCGCGCACCGAGAGGCCTTGCTCCTCCGAGGGTGGGCTGCCCAACCGGGGCCTGATGATCGAGTTTTACAGCAGCGTTACGTCGGGCCTGTCCCTCTACAGGAGGGATATTCAAAAATAATCGAAAATATTCTGGGGACTATTTTTTCAATTTCTTAACAATTTGGGAGTATGTTCCCTACCTAGTCTCTGCCTAGAAGGGTTCTTACTTCATAAGCTTAAAGGGGCCGGGCAGTGCTCCACGCCCCGGGCGGTTCCCCCGGCATCCGCCCCGCGGTTCCCCCAGTTGCACCCCCTGGGTTACCCAGCTTAGCTTAGCTTAATTTAGCTTATATCATCTTAGTTTAGCTTAGCTTTGCCTAGCCTAGCTTAGCGTAGCCTAACTTAGCTTAGCTTAGCTTATCTCATCTTAGCGTAGCTTAGCTGAGCTTGGTTTAGCTTAGTTTAACTTAGCCTAGCTTAGCATAGCTTTGCTTACCTTAGCTTAGCTTAGCGCAGCATAGCGCAGCGCAGCATTAGCACATCATAACATAACATAGCATAGCCAACCACAGCATAGCATAGCATAGCTCAGCATAGCATAGCGCAGCATAACACAGCATAGCATAGCATTGCTTAGCATAGCACAGCGCAGCATAGCATAGCATAGCACAGCATAGCGCCAAGACGCAGCCTAGATGTAGGTGTAGGTGTAGCTGTGGATGTAGGTGTAGATGTAGATGTAGATGTAGATGTAACTGTAGGTGTAGATGTAGATGTGAGTCTTGCTGTTGATGTTGATGTAGATGTAGATGCAGGTGTAGATGTAAATGTAGCTGTCGGTGTAGATGTAGATGTTGCTGTCCTGAATGCTCCAACTCCTAGGTAGGGTCGCACTGGGATAATTTTGAGCATGTTTAATTTTTCGCCCCAAATCCCCCTGTAGGGGGACAGGCCCGACTGAACACCAGCGGGCACGTCCTCACTTCTAGTCTGCGGATGATGTAAGCTGGAAGGCTGGCGCGCCGCCTTTCCCGCAAGGCGGCGGGAATAGGCAGGCAGTATCATCCTTTGCCCACGCGCTCCAGCGTGTGGCATGACTTGAGAGGCCTGGATCCTCCGAGAGGAGGATCGATACTGAGCCAGGCCCCTCGAACCAAGATGGGCCCTCAAGGGGAGGGAAGGCGCGAGGATGACAGAGGAGCGCAAAACGGCATACGGTCGGACCGAGGTATAAGATCGAGGTCTGTTCAGACGGGTACCCTGGTGTTCTTCGTGTTTGTTGGATTCTCTTGTGCATCCTGGGGAGCGTACCCTTGGCTGTTCGGCGTTCTGGCCGGCGGAGGGTCCCATGTCCTTGAGGGATGCTCTTCTGTCCCAGGCCCGACTCCACATCCAAGTCCTCGGAGGTCCGCGCGGACTTCGGGGATCGGCGCTGGACCCCCCCCCCCTCCGTGGCGCGCGGAGCGCCCCAGGGGCGGCGCCGGAAGCGACGCCGGTGGGGGCCCAGCGCCGATCCGAGAATCCGTGCGGAGCTCCGGGGAATCATGCGTACAGTCGGGGGCTCGACCTGAGGAACCCAACATAAGGAACGAGGCCTCTTTTTTCCCCATAAGTTTAGCTTCGACTTCCCGTCGAAGCCCTGAGCAAGACCAGAGGCGAAGTGCAAAACAGCTGAGGAACACCGAGCCCCTCCCCAACGAGAAGTGTTCCTTCCTCAGTGCCCCGACCGTATGCGGTTATCTGCTCTTCGAGACGATCGCCTACATGCAAGAGTGGCACCGGCTTTCGGGGAGGAGGAGGAGGAGGAGGAGATGGAGGAGGAGGAGGAGGAGGAGGAGATGGAGGAGGAGGAGGAGGAGGAGGAGGTGGAGGAGGATGATGATGATGAGGAGGAGGAGGAGGAGGAGGAGGAGGAGGAGGAGGAAGGGGAGGAGGAGGAGGAGGAGGAGGAGGAGGAGGAGGAGGAGGAGGAGGAGGAGGAGCCACTGGGAGGGGGTCAGCCTCAAGCGCGCAGGCCAGTGCTCGGGGGGGGGAGCCTCTCCTTCGACGGGGTCGGGGGGTAGACGGGGTCGGAGGATCGCACGGCATCGCCGATGCAATCGGCGATGCATCGGCGGCTTCTGTGGTCCTTCGGCGACGTCGACGTGGAGTGAATCGGGATCCGCATCGCTCCGCATCGGCGATGCACCGGTTCTCGGACCCCATCTGCTCCGACCCCATCAGAGAGGCCTAGATCTCAGAATCGAACCGAGAAGTCCGAGAAGTCGGATCGGCGATCGAGATGAATCGGATCGGCGGGAATCAGTAGCCAAGTGGTCGGCAAGCTAATAAGGCCTCCATTGGAAAACCGACATCCAAATCGGAATCCGAACTCGAATCGGATCGAGCTGGAGGAGTCGAAATGAGCCTTGCCTGTAGGCCCGTACAGTCGGGGCGTTGACCTAAGGAACCCTAAATAAGGAGCGAGGCCCCTTCTTCCACAAGTTGAACTTCGGCTTCCTATCGAGAATGTAAGGGAAACCTTAGGCAAGGTGTGGCACGATTAAGGAACACCGAGCCCCTCCCCAACGAAAAGGATTCCTTTTTCAGCGCCCCGACTGTACCACAGGTCACTCTGGCGAAGGGCCACTGCGGCGGTGCATGGGATATGCGGAGCGATCCTCTGATCCCCATCTGCTCCGACCCCATCTGGGAGGCCTAGACAGTGGGACTATCCAGGGTCGCCGATGGTCCACGTCTTCGGCGAGGCTCGCAGAAGGATGCGTGTAATGCCCGCCCCTGGGCTGCGGTCGGACCCAGGACAGAAGGACATCCCTCGAGAGCATGTGACCCTCTGCCGGCCAAAACACACAGAACATCCTGGAGTACCCTCCCCAGGATGCGCAGGAGCATCCAACAGGCACAAAGAACGTCAGAGTGACCCTGGGTAAGAGTGACCTCTGGTGCGCGGCCTTTTGGGGGCCGCGGGGAGGCCAAACCTGGGCGCGCAAGCCGCTGCTGCCGCCTCGACTTCGGCCACCTGAGGACCCATCTGTGCCCGCACCAAAGGCCACTCCGGCGCAAGGTCACTCTTACGTCTCGTCGATCGTAGCCCGCACCAATCGGCGGTGGACAAACCTCCCTTTAGTAAACCTCCCCTTAGTGAAAACGGCCTGGGACCGAAACCGACGGACCTGGACCCGCAAAAATGACGGCCGCGACGCCCCCTCGCGAACCGAAAACGGCCAATTCACTAATCGACGTGTCAGGGTAGGGGGTCCATCCACCCCCGAATGAGCAGCCAGGAGCAGCCCCGCGGAGGAGGAGAAGGAGGACGAGGAGGAGAAGGAGGATGAGGAGAAGGAGGAGAAGGAGGAGAAGGAGGAGGAGGAGGAGAAGGAGGATGAGGAGAAGGAGGAGAAGGAGGAGGAGGAGGAGGAGGAGAACCAAAAGTCACTCCGGCGAAGGGCCACTCCTGCGCGCAGCCGGGACGAGGGGCCTGCAGCCGCCGCAGCAGGGCGTCCAGGTTCACAGGCGTCTCCTGGCGGCGCCGGCAGCCTCCCCCTCGGGGGACGACGACGACGACGATCGACGTCGACGATCGACGACGACGACGACGACGACCACGACGGCGATCGAAGACGACGACGGCGGACGACGACGACGTCGTCGACGACGACGACGACGACCACGACGGCGATCGAAGACGACGACGGCGGACGACGACGACGTCGCCGACGACGACGGCGACAACGATCGGTTTCGGCGGCGACGGCGGCGACGACGATCGACGACGGCGACGACGAAGACGACGGCGAGGACGATCGACGACGACGGCGACGACAATCGACGACGACGATCAACGACGACAACGACGACGACGATCAACGAAGACGACGACGACGGCGACCGACAGCGATGACGACAACGACGACGAGTACGACCGACGACGGCGACGATTGACGACGACGACGACGACGTTGACGACAACGACGACGACGACGACGACGACGATCGACAACGACGACGTCGACGACGATCGACTGCACTCCAGGGGACTCGTGGACGGGCCGACAAGCTGGGAAAAGGGCCACAAAGGGGACCGGGATGGAGGAGGAGGAGGAGGAGGAGGAGGAGGAGGAGGAGTTTTGCAATGCGCAGCAGCCAGGCGCACACCCTATTCGCGAGAGCAAAAGGCCGGGCGACAGGCTGGCAAGACAAAACCTGCGGGCTAAACACCCGCCGAGGGCCACACGCGGACCCCAGGCCTAGGAGGGAGGCCCTTGCGCAGCCGCAACAGAGCAGTCAGCTGCGCCTTGGTCAGCGCGAGGGGCCCGAACCTCGCCGCCTCGCACTCCTCCAGAAGACGGGAGGGCCTGGAGTCCGCGTAGCGACCGCAGATGCTGCAGAACGTGATGGCACCCTTGCGCCACAAAAAGTGCGAGGCGTGCGGCACATGACCCGCAATGCCAGTGCCAGGAGGCAGCCGAGATGGGGGATCAGGCATCCCCAGAGAACGAAAGAGTTGTTCGTCGATGGGCGGCAGCCCTTCGTACGAGCGCGGCAGCCTGACGCAGGCCCGAGGCGCGGGAGCTGCGTCCTCCACCTCTGGCTCTGCCGCAGGCTCGAGAGGCACCACACCGTCCCCCCCCCCGTCCTCGACCGCCCCGTCCCCCTCCCACTGCTGGCCTCGCTGCTGCAACTCCACGCTGCAGGGAGGCGTGCTGGGCGACGGCCTCAGGGCCGAGCACGAGGAACGAAGAAGATGGAGGGCGCGGCTCTGAGTGCGCCTGACCGATCGACCACAGCTCTGGCAGCGCCAGCCGAAAGCGGTCGGCGCAAAGGCATGCTGGGAACGGGCCGCGAAGCCAGAAAGCAGCTCCTCCCTCCTCTGAGCCCTAGAAACCTTCGGTTTGGTCACCTCACGGCCAGGGCTCTTGGGGGCGGAGGCGGCGGCAGCACAGAGAGTAGCATTGCGGAGCAGGATGGCCTCGGCCTGCTCCACCAAGTCCAAAGCGCGGCGTGCTACATCTGGATCAAGCTGAGCCTCCTCGGACCGCTCCTCGGCGAGCCCGTCTGCCACTGCATTGAGAAAAATCGCCTCGGGCAGCACAGTGTGGCCAAGACGCGCAAACTTCGCGGGGTCCTCAGCTAGATGCGAGGGCACGTGCAGGAGCGAGAAGCGGCCCACGCGGGCGTCAAGCAGCGAGAAAAGGTCGTGCCAGAGGTCCGCGTGCTCGAGCCTGTAGCAGTGGCGGCGTCCGCGCGCTATCGCCTTCACGTGATTCACGTGGTCGGAGTACAACTTGAAATCGGCAGCTGGGTGGACGGCCCTGACGCACTCCACAATGGCCAGGAGCTCAGCACGGGGCACCGTTTGCACAGGGCCGTCCACCAAGCCCGTGCAGCCTGAATCCCAGTCCAAACCCTGGCCGTCGCCAAGGCGGGCAAAGCTCCACGCCACACGTCGTAGCAAGGGCTGAGACGACCAGGCTCCACCTGCACCGTCGGTAGCGTAGATCCCCCCTGGCAGCTCCCCGCCGCCGCAGCGCAGCCACCGATGGCCCCGCTCGTCGGGGGGAGGCGGGATGTTCAGCCAGGCAAGGGGCACAAGCCCGGAGGAGGGGGAGGAGGAGGAGGAAGAGGAGGAGGAGTAGCAGGAGGAGGAGGAGGAGCAGGAGGAGGAAGAGCAGGAGGAGGAGGAGGAGGAGGAGGAGGAGGAACGGAGGAGGAGGGCCATTCTGGCCCGTGCAAAGGGGAGTCATTGTATGATCCAATACACGTGGCAGTCGAAGCCGACTCCATGAGGGGTGACTGAAGGCGGGAAAAAAAATCCACAAGGGGTCCATGGGGGAGGGGGGGGGGGGGGCGGGAGGGGATCAAAGCGGGAGGAGGAGGCGGCGGAAGGGGCGGGAGAGGAGAAAGGGAGAGGCGGAGTAGGAAGAGGAGTAGGAGGAGGAAGAGGAGGAGGAGGAGGAGGAGGAGGAGGAGGAGGAGGAGGAGGAGGAACTCGAATTGCGGGGGGGAGCTGCGCGAGAGAAAACACGGCGGCAATGAGCTGTAGATTGCAGTCAGAAGATATGCGTCGACGCTCGGGCCAAACAGCGGCCGGCGATCTCTCCGATTCAAGTCGGGATTGTACGGGCGATCGAACAGCTCTGGCGGAGATGAAAGGCCAAAAGAAGAAGGGAACCAGAGTTGTCTTACCACAAGCACATTCTGGACTCGGCAAGGAGATGCCGTCGCTGTCCAACCTGACGGGCGCGCGCGTAGGGGCGCGGGCTCATCCATTGCAATGGCGAGCTCGCTCGTGCTCTTAAGAGCGGAGCTGGAAAAGTTCACACGTGTAAGTGATGATGGTGTGCGTTACCACGTGCCGCATGATGTGGCGTTGGTGACCTCGGGCCGCAGACGTGGTGTCTGAAAGCTTATCCTGATAATTATGCAAGATGATGGCCCCAGGGTCACGTGACTGGCGAGGTGGAGGTGTAGTGCCTTGATCTGGTAGGTGGGAGAGAAGGTGCTGGATGGAGATTGACCTTGAGGGATGTGCGCACAATTTTGGCACTGTCGCCTCGAAACTTCACCGCGGTCACGATCCGCGGGGACCGCTCCGATCACGATCGCCGTAGGCAACCTCCTCGCTGGGCGCGCCGGGCTCGGCACTGCCCCTGGGCGAAAGTGGCTGCTGTGGCTCGTCGGCGCTAGCCGCGGCTAGGCCGCGCCGGCGCGCGGGCGCTCGACGTTCTCCCCAGCCCTGCGGGTTTTCTTTTCCTTCTTGGGAAAGTCGGCGGCGTCGTCTGGCTCGGGCTCGTTCTCGCCCTTGCTCTTGCCCTTGCCCTTGCCAGCTATCGCCGCAGCGTGCCCTCCCGATGCGCGCCACGGTCCCGATCCTCGTCCAGAACGGGCGCGGAGTCGACGAGCGAAGCAAGGTCGGTCTCCAGCCCGAACCGTGAACCGTGCTGGCCTCGTCGTACTCAGCCTCACGGGAAGGTGACTGGGGCTGACCCTCTGGCGATAGGTGACGACGAGGCAGACTGCGCGGCACGCGCTCACCCAGAGGTGAAGGGGAGCGCAGCGCACGCGGTGACAGCGCCGCCGCCCGTCTGTAGCCAGGCGGCCGCAGTGCAAAGCCACCCAAGCAGTGCACGGCAATGCAAATCAGAGCAACGCAGCATCTCACCACAGCTGAGCTCGTCCACGTACTCCACCATCATGATCTTCCAGTCATCCAGCGCCGAGCACACCCGACACCAGCCCAGGCGCTGCGGCGGGGCCCAGTACGCACCCATGCAGGGGACGTAGCCCGCCTCGGCGTAGTCCTCGTCCGCCATCATCTCGGCGTCCTCGAGCGCGGCAGCCGTGCCGCCGTTCACAAGGCCACGCAACGCAACTCGAAGCAACGCGATTGCAGCTTTCTGCAACATCATGCGCTCCAGTGCGGTTGCAGTGCAACTGTGGCGGGTGCCACGGGGCGGCGGCGACGGACGGAACTGGATCGGCGGGCCCGCACACGGGCCACTCATCGGGAAGCATGTGTGAGGAGGAGGAGGAGGAGGAGGAGGAGGAGGAGGAGGAGGAGGAGGAGGAGGAGGAGGAGGAGGGAGGAGGAGGAGGAGGAGAGGAGGAGGAGGAGGAGGAGGAGGAGGAGGAGAGGAGGAGGAGGAGGAGGAGGAGGAGGAGAGGAGGAGGAGGAGGAGGAGGGAGAGGAGGAGGAGGAGAAGGAGGAGGAGGAGGAGGAGGAGGAGGAGGAGGCCGCCAGCACCGCGCGCGGGCCCAGAGTTCCTCGGAAGAGGGGTATAAGAAGCGCAGTGCGTTCCCTGTGCGGGGGGAATGATGTCTCCCTGCTGCTCCCAGCGTCCTGTCTTGCGCACGTCTTTCCCCAACTTCCCGACGTAGCCCCAGACCTCCTGGCGTCGTGAAAAAATCACGACGGGAAGTTTTTCGCTATTTTCGGCCTCCGGGGGCCCTCACCGGGCCTCGGGAGCGTCAAAAAACGACTCGGGACGAAGAACCGGTCCCGGGGAAGGGGTCCAGACCTCTGGGGGTCGACGTTGTGAAAAAATCACGACGTCGGGGGTCTGGGTAGCCGTTAGTACCCCCGCCGCTAGCATCCACACGTCAATAGCCGTCACAGCTTTCCCATACTTGTGCCATAGTTCCTCAAACATCATCGCCTCACCACCCATGCTCTTCGTTTTGTTTACCGAAGGTGGCATCTGCATCGTGTTCGGGCACATCTCGCTCGCGGTCTCCGTGACGGCCAGGGAAGAGAGGGTATTGTTCGACTTGAACAATTACTTCGGAGAACCTGTTCCTGTTACTGCTCCTCCGCCCCTTCCCGGGCAACGAACACAACAAAACGATGACGCCGATGACGGAAACATCAAGCATCTGAGTACGTACTCCCCTCCTTCAACTTCTCCCTGCACCCTCCCTCGACGACGACACCAACAAAGACGACAGAGGTGACGACAACGACCACCACCACAATCACGGCCGCGACGACGGCGGCAATGACGACCACGACCACGACGACCGCGACGACGATGTTGGCGACATTGACGACGTTGGTGACGACGACGACGACGACCACCACCACCACGACGACGACGACGACCATCACCACCACCACCACCATCGCCACCGCGACGACGACGACGACGACCACGGCATGCGGCGTCGACCACGGCGACGGCGAAGGCGGCGGCGTCCCCGAGGACACGCCGCGAGAACGGGCGGGGCGGCTCCTGCGCGGCGGCCTCCTCGAAGACGCCGTCGCTCTCCTGGCCGAGGCCCCCCGCGCGACCGCTCCGCGGCCGGCCGAGCACCGCGAGCTCGCGGAACTCTCACCAAGACTCCCCCTCCCTCCCCCTCCTCCTCCTCCTCCTCTCCCCTCCTCCTCCTCCCCTCCTCCTCCTCCTCCTCCTCCTCCTCCTCCTCCTCCTCCTCCTCCTCCTCCCCTCCTCCTCCTCCTCCTCCTCCTCCTCCTCTTTCTCGTTCTCTTTCTCTTTCTCCTTTTCCTCCTCCTCCATCCCATTTCCTCGCAACTAATTTCTCCCTGTCGCACCCCGAGGCAAGTTTTCAGGGCGGGCTGGGAGTTGCGCCTGATACTTCCTCACCATTTATGATCCTGAAGCTTAACAGCCCTTGACAACAGTTTCACACATGGAGGGCGGTTCGTTTTCAAAATGCGGCTCTCGCCTTAGCGCCGCGCACAATCGTTTGAAACATGCGAGCGTTTCACGGATTGGGAACGGGCCGTTTTCAACATGTGGCTCTCGCCTTTGCGCCGCGCACGTTCGCTTTATACATTTTCCAAGAGCTTCACGAATTGAGGGCGGACCCTTCTAAAAATGTGGCTCTTGCCCCAGCGCCACGCACATTCTTTTTAAACATTTGCAAGAATTTGGCGGATTGAGGGAGGCTCATTTACAATATGTGGCTCTCGCTTGAACGTCGCGCACATCCGTTTTACAGTTTGCAAGAGCTCCACGGACTCCCATGACCAACGTACCAGACATGGTGTTGTCGACGGACTCAGCATGATGAGGGTGCAAGAGGCAATTACGCTGATTCGCGGTGCTGAAGTCCCAGGAACGGCGTTCTGGTACGATTCAGGATCGTGGAGACGCAACAGTCAGGTTGATCCGTGGCGTTGGAAACCCGAGAACAATGTTTTAGCATGCTTCAGGGTCTTCAAACGGTTTTCCAACGAAGCAATTCCCTCAGTGGAAATGAGTCGTTGTAAGAGAGTTTGGGAGAGGGTGTAGTTCAACATCGTTGATGACTCTTGGGCTTACACTGGTCCTCGTTCTCATCCACCTCGTCCTCCCTCTCCTCTTTCTCCTCTCCCTCTCCTCCCTCCCCTCCCTCTTCTCCCTCTTCTCCCTCTTCTCCCTCTCCTCCCTCTCCTCCTCCTCCTCCTCCTCCTCCTCCTCCTCCTCCTCCTCCTCCTCCTCCTCCTCGTCCTCCTCCTCCTCGTCCTCCTCGTCCTCCTCGTCCTCCTCGTCCTCCTCGTCCTCCTCGTCCTCCTTGTCCTCCTGCTCCTCCCTCTCTTCCATCTCCTCT